CAGACTACTATTAATATGCATAGGGTAACTTCATACATTATAAGCCATTTTTTAAACTACATCAGGTATCCAAAAGAACATTCTTGTCGTGGATTTATTGACCATTAGCAAGTTGACATTCTCTGATAAACCGAAGAGGAAGTATTCGATGAGGTGCTATGCAATAAGAATTGTCAGCTGAAGACGACGCAATTTTTTTCCAACGCAGCAAATTAGGTAACACAAGTACCATTCTGATTTATGGATTTTGATAGTAGAAGAAAATATCATCTTTACGCTGTTGCTCTTTACGAGACGGACATTAAATATTTGAAGCAATTACCAATCGTTTGAGATTATGGAAGCATTATGTAGCCTTCATTTTTCTTAAATTCCTATTCGCGAAGTTTAAGAGCGAGTAATCAGAAGTATTATTGCTCGTTAGTTTTCAAAAACGGAGATGAGGAGCCAGTTTGAACATGCCTGATGCTACATGACCCGTGTAGAAAGGTAAAGTAACCATTGTGACGGAACTTTGTAAAACTATATCAATCCCGTGAAATGAGTGGATGGGTTAAGCTGACAGAGGGTGTTTTTGTCTCTCCGGTGTTTTCTGTTTAAGTTGGGCATTTGTACCGGAATTGATATAGTGAAGTGGCTCTGTACCTCCACTGAATCATGTCAATATTTACATGTGTAAAGATTAAATAATAAATGTTGAACATAGAAACGAGACATGCATGCCACCTATATAATACATTGCAGTCGGTTGTTTTATTTGTAATGATACAGGGACACCATGGGAAGGAATTGGATAAGTCTAAACAGAACATTGTATCGGACATAAGTTTTGGAACTGATAATTATGTCAGTGAGTGAATTAACATTTTACATCGAATCGGCAATATTGCAGCCATATAATATCGTGTTATTTCCAATAGTTTTGTTCACTCCTGCCACCTTGTCTAAAATCTTAGGTTTCTGTTTCCAGCCTCAAACTCCATGTCGTCTGAATCGGTGTTTCCCAGTTTTTGTGGATGTGCACCTGTAACATGTTTTCTCATGTCAAAGATATGCAGGTCAGTTAGTGACGATCTGATCAATTAAATGTACCTCTTCTGATGGAGAAGTGCTGGTAGGGTAAGTTAAATTTTCCAATCTACGGAGTTCAAACCCATCGTAACGACCTTGCCGACAAATTCGGAATTCACTTTTGAATTTTCGTTCTACTGGATTGAAACGATGACTCGATGGATTTTCACTGCCTGATAACTATCACTGAGTTATCCTCATGTCAGATTACTCTAAAGTTCTAACTTCGGGATGAGATAAACTTAACTTCTCAAGTCCTGTCAAAACAGAGTCCGCTGGATTTGATTGTCTTATAATTCCAAACCTCTCGGAACATCAACCCCTGACCCATCCTGTATTTCTGGTGTCCTGAAATGAACGGAACGGCAACCATCGTCATGAGCAAACAACCGATAATCAGCGGTCTGATGTGCAGGTGCACCACAACCTGACCCTAAATGTGTATCCCTACTAACCTCTCTATGCCTTAACGACACCACCTCCTACTGAAGGTACCCGTGAAGGTCCGGGTTAGAATGAACCTTCAGTAACCCATGCCTGTCGTAAGAGGCGACTAACGGGATCGGGTGGTCAGGCTCGCCAACTTGATTAACACATGTCGTCGGTTCCCAATTGCTCTGATCGATGTTCATGCTGTTGATCACTGGATTGTCTGGTCCAGACTCGATTATTTATCTACCGCCGCCATATAGCTGGAATATTGCTGAGTGCGGCGTAAAACTAAACCCAATGAATCAAGATCGGCGCAATTGGGAACCGATGACATGTGTCAACCGAGTCAGTGAGCCTGACCACCCGATCCCGTTAGTCGCCTCTTACGACAAGCATGGGTTACTGAAGATCAGTTCTAACCCGGATCTTCACGGGTAATACAGCGACTACGTGCATTACACCCGGGCTTCCCAACCTGCTGTGACTGTAACGCCTTCTCAGCTACTGCACCCGCGTGGGCATTAACGTTTACATTACCTATATTGACCTATGGCGCTGTCATATGGGACACAAAACAGTTTAGTTGCATTAACGCAGTTCAAAACCATGCCTGCAGATTTTTCCTGGGAGTCGGATGTGAAACCCTGATTTAGCAGTCAGAGGAAAGCTAGGGTGGAGCAGTACCTTCTGTAAGCAAACATGGAAATACTTAGGTTTTGGAATAAATTGAATTGTATGGCAGATTGTCAAGTGTCATTATGCAGTGGTCTCGACGTTTTCACAGATCTTGGGTTAATTCTGTCTATAGCATACTTTCTAAATTGTAGCTTCCAGTTGATGACATCTATAGGGCTTGGTGTTAAATTATCCTGTGATTGGATTCAATCTCTTGGCGAACAAGAATGGTTTAGAGAATTGTAGAATGATCGTTAGGGTGAGTGAGTGAGTTAAGTTTTACGCGCACTCAGCAGTATTCCAGCTATATCGAGTCTGGACCAGACAATCCAGTGATCAACAGCATGAGCATCGATCTGAGCAATTGGGAACCGATGACATGTGTCAACCAAGTCAACAAGCCTCACCACCCGATCCCGTTAGTCGCCTCTTACGACAAGTATAGTCGCCTTTTGTGGCAAGCATGGGTTGCTGAAGACCTATTCTACCCGAACGTACAGACTTTTCAAAAGTTCTCTGGTGGCTGAACCGTACGTTACACAGTTAATTCCCAGATCCCACGGCAGTGCTCTGGCTAAGCTACGCTGTAGTTATCTCCCCTTATATAATTAGAAGTTGAACTTGGTAGGAGACACCTCTGGAACATCGGTTATGCAAGTTACTCCCACTCATTGGAGGGTGAGATTCATTTTTTGATGAGTTGCCCATTCTATTCAGATTTGCGTTACAGTTTTCTTATGGAGTTGAATCAGCTAGACTTTCTCGCTGCTGCCTGCCGTTCAGCAGTCTGTTTATGCTGCAACACACAGCAATGGTGGAACCTCTTGCCGCTCTTGTCAGCCGTATGTATAGGAGGAGACTATATATCTCTTAGTACGGGGGTGGGGTGGGTGTGGGTGGGTGGTTGTGAGTGTAAGTGGGTGTGTGGGTGAGTTTGACGCATGCATGAATGTACGTAAGTATGTGTGCAGAAATCGGTATGATGTTGCATGTGTAATTTATGTGAAATATACTTGAATCAATCCTAAATGTTTTACTGTGATATGTGTCTCATAGGCCAAATGGCCGGATGTTATGTAAATGTTTTAAGCGTGTCATCATGCACTGCTTAATAGCATGTGACACAATAATAAAATATTCTTCTTCTTCTTCATTAAATAACTACAAGGTTAGGCACAACGTCAGCCGCCCACCCCAATCCCCAATATTTTGTCACTGAAACATTGGCAAAGGCACCATTTCCCCTGTGTTTCGTAGATCGATGCTCATTAAGTCCAGACTCGATTATTTACAGGCCGTCTTTGTATGCCTAGATTATTTGTGGTGTGTTGAGAAACAAAACACCAAATTGATATGCTTAGTTGGAAAATAGACGCAAAATGTTCTGTGGAGTCATTTTTCAGTCAGTCAGTACAGTAATCCATTAAAACCTCGCACGCTACAAACATGTTAGCGAGTGAGTGAGTGAGTTTAGTTTTACGCCGCTTTTAGCAATATTCCAGCAATATCACGGTGGGGGACACCAGAAATGGGCTTCACACATTCTACCCATGTGGGGAATCGAACCCGGGTCTTCGGCGTGACGAGCGAACGCCGTAACCACTAGGCTACCCCACCGCCCCCACAAACACGTCAGACACCAATCAAACTACCAGTACAACTATCAGCATTACATAAGGATAATACGTCCACGCAAAACCAGATCGTTTTCATGTTCAGAGATAAGTGTTTCAAGGATTGTTTCCGTGTATCTGAGACGCTTTGTTCATATAATGAGGAAAATCCGCATAGATAAATCTACAGCTTGCGCCACCCTCTACAGTATTTATTGTTAGATAAGGTTAACAGCATGTAATGCGGGCGATACATATTGTTCCGGATTGGTGAAAGTATACCCGGAGACGCAGAAAAAGGACCTACTGTTAAGCTTCAAAGAAACGGATATGATGATGTTTCTTTTAATAGCTATTTGGACTTTACCGCAAAACGTTGACGCTTTTTTCGCGTCTGTCACCTCAGTAACGGTGACATTGTTCTCGCATGTAGAAAGACATAACCCTTAGGATTTCAGGCAATAAAATATCAATAGTTCTGACACATTTTATTGAAAATCCCACACAATTTTTAATATTATACTACAACACATTCAAACACAAAGTTAGATGTCATACATGACATCATTTGAAACCTATACGAGGGGCGTCTCAAAAGTATTCGGCCTCACCTAGAAAATGATACAAATGCAGCTGTTTTATGTTTTATTTTAACTATTTTTACTATTGAGTCCCATCCGGGATTCGAACCCAAACCCTCAGAGTCAGGCACCTAATCGCCAGCACACAAAGTCAGACACCTAGACCGTTCAGCCACCGCGGCTTCCAAAATATGGAAGTCGGACAACTGTAAGGCTAGACTGCGGACTTTGTGTACCCCTCTGATAAGTGTTAATTGGCAAGACTCCCACGGCCGAAAGTTATGAAATACAACAATGCCATTTTAGAAAGTCATCAAATGTAACATATGTTATATTTGGGATTACACTTTCTTAGTAAAGTACAGATTGTAGTACTTTTTTGGTTGAGCCTCAGACAGAAAAGTTTGCATTTGGAAGGTTTGTCAATGATCGGTTGTTTGTAAACATGTCAACATGACATACATTGAAAAAACATTGTTCGAATTGTGTCTGTGTTGAACCTAGGATAACTCGAAGTATTTTCCTCATCCCTCGAACTTCGACACAAGTTGTTGACTGTTTTTTTCACTTTAAGCACCATGGAATGTTTCGGCAGAAATTCGACTGTGATTATTTCTTTCTCGAATTACTAGTTCTTTGTTGCCCGAAAATTTAACTTCCAGATTACGACTCCAAGTTCGCGTCTAAAGTTGGTGCTACAGAAGCTGTATATGAAAGGATTAGAGGCACTGTTGATGAAATACGACCTGATGAACAGGTTGAACGCAGCCAATCCAAACCCTTGGATTTCTTCAAAGATATATTTGTTCACCGCCAGTGTCACCATCAGAGTCAAGTGTGGCAGATAGCTCAACACAAACACGAGAGTGATAAGAAACAACATGAACAAAGTTCTCCGTTCACCTCCGTCTCTTCGGGGCGATGTGTGGAAATTCGCCGACACAGCATCACAGGAGGCAGATACGTCTATACCCAGCCATGTCTTGTCTTTAGAACTGTGCTCTGGTTTCCTTTCTTGCCTTCTGCTGTTCGAAGCGTCCTCCCTGGCTGGTCGATTGTTGGGCAATTGCATCGCAACTTCAGAGACATCTGAGGGTCCCTGTCCTGATGAAGAGGTTGGAACTTCATCAGATTGGGTTGAGTTACTCACTTTATCACCATCTCCCTTTTGGGATGAAGGAACATTCTGACAGTGCATCTTGCTCCTGAATCTTCGCTGCTTTATGACCTGCCTCCTTATTAGGCTGTAGATCACTATTAGGAACAGCATGGAAGGCACAAATATGGAAAAGTGTACCCCATTATACAGCCGTGGGAATGGGGAATCAACGTACTCATCAGAAATGGAACAGTCAGAACCATTGATGTTGACGATATCTAGAGGCACAGTTCTTGAGCCGAAGATAACATACGCTGGTAGTGATATAAAGAACGATAGAACAGTGCAAATTGTTACAGCTACCCGGGCAGTTCTTGTGCTCATCTGCTTTTGAAATGGCCTGCATACCCTTCTGTATCGATCTACTGCTACAACAAGCAGTATGAACCCCGACCCAAACGACGAGAACACGATGAATACGCGAACTACTTTACATAGAGCATATCGCCCAAAGGTGTAGTTATATCGCATGTCTGCTATTTCATGGGGTATACACACAACACAGTTCAGAAGATCAAACGCTGCCACTGATAGAATATACACCCGGGTTGTGTTTCGTTTCATCTTCACATGATACACATAAAACACGAGGGCGTTCCCAATACATCCGACAATCATCAGAATGGCCAGGAACAACATGGCGGGCACTACTTGTTGGGCGTACTGGTTGTCATAGAGACGGAGTTGAAGGTCGAGGTCAGGAGTATGGAGACTGTCGCTGTTGTTTGTCATTGTTTGAAGTATAGTTTGAACTTTTCTGTGGAAAGAAGACGAACTATAAACATGGTGTTGACAGTGGAGCTTATAAATTGTAAAATAAAGATTACGTCCAATTGTATTTTAATCTCTTTGTGGAATATATCACAAACAACAGGTTTTAAACGACAAATCTAAACCTGTGAAGATCACGTCTTCAGCAACCCATGGTTATCGTAAAAGGCGACTGATTTGGTTGACACATTTCCTCGCATCCCAAATGCGTAGATAAATGCACATGATGTTAATCACTGGATGCTCTGTTCCAGATTCGATTATATACAGATGCCGGCATAGCTGGGATATTGCCGCTGTTGCCAAGTGCGTCGTTAACAAACAAAAGACCATCGAGTAGGAATTAAATATGATATAGATGTTGGCAACTCTAGAGCTATGAGATGTCAAACGAAGCGAAGTTATTTTAAGTGGGGGTTCACCCTTATTGTTCTGGGGGGAGCTGGGGGAGACCAATTTTGTACACACGTAGGAGGGGGATCAGCAGTTTTGTACATAAAATATCTTTAAAATTATGCTTAGATATTATTGGGAGTTGAGGTGGGGAGGTCATTGATTTTGTAGATGAAACGCAGGGGGGTCACTTGTGTTGTACATAAATTTAGGGGGGGATTCACATTGTACATGCTTCTCCGGAATCATCATCACACACCCACACACACACACACACACCCTACCCCACCCCATGAACGGTCCCCTGGTGGTTAAGGAATTGTGGCCAGTTAACTAGTAGCCAAAAGTAACTTTCTGACGCAATAATACGCGCATCCAAGGAAAATGTGCAATGTCCATAGGTACAGTTTATGATGCATGGGCGTTGTTTGTTCGTTGCCGCAGTCCCCAATATTCCAGCTCTACGACGGCCGTCTGTACATAACCGATTCTGAATCAGATGGATTGACATCAGAAGCATCAATCTACGACACCGGGAAACGATGAAGTAGGTGTGTCAACTAAGTCAGCGAGGCTGACCACCCGATCCCGTTAGCTGCCTCTTACGACAAGCGTGGGTTACTGAAGTCCAATTCAAGCCTGGCTCTTCACGGGTGTTTTCAGGAAAACTTTTGGGGACTGACATTTTATTTTAAAGAGGCTTCTGCGCAAGTGCGGGCGGTGGGGTAGCCTAGTGGTTAAAGCGTTCGCTCGTCACGCCGAAGACCCGGGTTCGATTCCCCACATGGGCAAAATGTGTGAAGCTCATTTCTGGTGTCCCCCGCCGTGATATTGCTGGAATATTGCTAAAAGCGGCGTAAAATCAAACTCACTCACTCACTCACTCTGCGCAAGTGCAATTTTGGATGGAGATGCCCTGTATTATGAATAAATAATATCGAAGATCTATTATTAATGCACATGATGCAATATGCAGTGTTTAGTCCAAATGTTTAGTTTGTTTATTCCTAAAGGAAAATATTCCATCTCACACTCGTGTGATAACATCTTATTTCGAAATATACCTTAACTCACCTTACCCTTCATAGGGTGTGAAGCGTATCGTATCACTCCAGCAGTCAAATTCCAACAGGTAACTCCTCTGTCATTAGACGCACAACACTACGTAATGTGTCAGTATTGCTCCAACAATTACACCCGATTGCAAGGTCGGTAGGTTATTAGGTCCTTGTTGTCAATCAGATGCAGAGATAAGCTCACGTCCAGATCACGTGTAGAGGAAATATCCTGATTCGTGTAAATATTACGGGGTATTAAGCCACCCTGACACTTGTACTGACGTTATCCCTGTCCTGCCGAGCAATTCGTCGTGGCAATGCGTGTAATTTAGATGGTGCGCCTGAAAGCCTGAAGCCCAGTTTGCGCACTGTTCGCGTCCTGTTTACGCATAAGTTACACACTTGGCACGCAATGCGTGACCGAAAATGGTGCAAACTGGCACGGATTGGCACGCTATCGCACGACTTTTTTACACCTAGGTCAGGTATTGTTGGCGCATTGTTTACGTCCTCTGTACGGCATGGTACCAACGACGCGTATGGTTCCAGAATGGGCGTGCATTGCCACAACCATTTCGTGCATGCTTGAAGCAGTCGTCGTTTTATTTGGTCCCGCTTTGTGAGTGAGTGAGTTAAAATTTAAAGTCAGATCGGTAATATTTCAGCCATATCGTGACTAAAACTAGTTCTAAATGTATAAGACATACAGATAATATACGAGAACATTTGACATTGAAATAGAAAATATATAGATATTATAAAAACCTGCCACGAAGGACGGTAAAACAACTATAGTATCACAGATATAAATGTAAAACTAGTAATTAAATCTAAAACATGTTAACTATAGGGGACAACACAATATAAAAATAGGCTATAGATCACCAACAACTGAAGGTATATCACCAGGGTCCATGGGGACTTACAGTACATTTGCTTCCTGCATGGACCCTAGCTGGATTTACATCATCCCTTCAGCTGCTGGTGATTGTAAGAAATGTTAGCAAAGGATATAATTACAAAAATACTACGTTTAAAAATCCTGGTAAGTTTAAATTGACTTTGAAAGTTTTGGGACTTACGTACCCTCTCAGGAGGACAATAATTTTACAGTACTTTAACCCCCGTTGAGGGTACAGCCACTAACAATCTCAGTTACTAATATAAACTACCAACAATAAAATATTTAGCTATTTACAGATCAGTCAACAAATCTAATTCTTTTTAAAATTCAACTATTAAATGATAATTAACATTATAAAAAAAGATCCTTCAATGTTTTGACATTAAAATACTTATCCCTTGTGATGGAATATTCAACACAGGCAAGCAGGACATGCAAAACGGAGGATCTGCGCCTTTAAGCAAATATTCATGTGTATACCTTGTATGGCCAATGCGACATCGCCGCATAATGACCTCTTCAAATCTGGACTGACAACCCAAGTAGGTGTAACCAATGTAGGGTTTTATTGCATGTAATTTATTAATAACTACTTGGGTGTCCCACTTCTTCTGCATCAGATCACGGATGTAGGTTCTAATGCTAGCTTTGTAATCAGAATATGGGATAAGAAGTGGTATCACAGACTTGTTTAGTGCTGCCTTAGCAGCAAGATCAGCCATTGTGTTCCCAGAAATGCCAACGTGGCTGGGTAACCAACAAAAGACGATGTCGCATTGACCAGTAGCAAGTTCATTGTACAATTCAATAATTTCTAATAAAAGTGGATGATTGCAAAAAAGATTTTTAATAGCCTGAAGACACGAAAGAGAATCTGAAAAGATGATATATTGTTTATATTTACGGTGTTTATTAATATATTTAAGAGCTGTTAGTATTGCGTTTGCTTCTTCTGTGAAAATTGAACTGTCATTGGGTAATCTGGAAGATATTGTTTTGGACCCAATGACAGTGGCACAAGCAACCGCGCCACCATCCTTGGACCATCTGTAAAGAAGGATTTATATGCAGTATATTTACATTTTAACTGATTATATTCTTGTTTATATTGTAATTCATTTGTTTCCGATTTTTTAAATGTTGTAAGTGTTAAGTCAACTTCTGGTCTAACTAACTGCCAAGGAGGAGAAGAAAGAAGACGGGAAGGAGCTATAATTTCCAGCTCAATGCCGGCAGCAGCAATAAATGGCTTAATTCTGAGCCCAAGAGGCGGAACAAGAGAAGGTTTTTTGTTATACAAATCCTCATAAAGAGGATTTAAGACACAGTGAAATGCAGGATTAGACTCGTTAGAATATAATTTTGTAATATATTGTAAAGATAATTTTATACGGCGTTGTGCAAGAGAAGGTTCATCTGCCTCGATGTAAAGACTGTCAACAGGAGAAGTTCTGAAGGACCCAAGACAAAGTCTCAGACTCCCGCTTTGTGCCGCTTGATGCCACGCTATATGAATGACAGGCATCAGTATCAGTATGTCCAAACACATAGAAACACAGTATCCGAAACACAGGTGATAACAATGATTACATTCGCACATCCTTTCATTCAGTCAAGACGAATGTTCTTTGAAATGGATATCAGGAGCTGATCCCGGGGTTTCTGTCCAGCACTATATGCAACACAAAGGTTCTTAAAGCGTTGTTGGGGATCTTTGGTTGCTTTCGTGACACGCTTGGAGGGAGGTTGACCATTACAATTCCACATCTACTCATGCGATCAGTGACAATCCCCCACACAGACAATTAACCATCACCTCAGTGACAATTCCCCACACAGACAATTCCCCATCACCTCAGTGACAGTTCCCCACACAGACAATTCCCCATCACCTCGGTGACAATTCCCCGCACAGACAATTCCCCACACAGACAATTCCTCACACAGACAATTCCCCACACTGGCAGTTACCCATACAGACAATTCCCCATCACCTCAGTGACAATTCCCCATCACATCAGTGACAATTACCCACACAGACAATTCCCATCACCTCAGTGACAATTCCCTCACAGACAATTCCCTGTCCCCTCAATGTCAACTTTCCCCTTCCCCAGACAACTCCCCACACTGACAATTCCCACACAGACAATTCCCATCACCTTAATGACAATTCCCCACCACCTCAGTGACGATTCCCACACAGACAATTCACCACCACCTCAGTGGCAATTCACCACACAGACAATTCACCATCACCTCAGTGACAATTCCCCACACAGACAATTCCCAATCACCTCAGTGACAATTCACCACACAGACAATTCACCACCATCTCTGTGGCAATTCACCACACAGACAATTGCCCATCACCTCAGTGACAATTCCCCACACAGACAATTTCCCACCACCTCAGTGGCAATTCACCACACAGACAATTCCCCATCACCTCAGTGACAATTTCCCACCACCTCAGTGACACACAGACAATTCCCATCACCTCAGTGACAATTCACCACACAGACAATTCCCCATCACCTTGTAGTGA